TAAAAATTAAAACACTTTACAAAGTGAGTGGTATCATGTGACATTCTCTTAGCGTAGGTCCGTCCAAGATCATGAGGTGAAGGAACGGTGGTGGCCTCATGGCATTTGTGTCTACCAACGTGCATGCAATCAATTGAGTAGATGATAACAGCTTATGCTCAGCACATTGGCATGAACATGGCCGTTTTCCCATGCTGCTAGATGATCCCACCATGGAGGACCAAAATGAAGATGTGGAGGACAACTAGTAGCATTTTTCCGCAAGTCAGGGAGTGTTTCTTTTCTTTACTTTTGATAACATTTGGGGGACAATGTTATTTTTCAAGTTGAGGGGGGAGGGCACAAATTTTTAGTTTTAAGTTTTGTTTTCTTCACTTTGCAGTTATGTTTTTAGACCTTAAGTTTAGTTAAGTTATTTATCATTTAATTTGTTACGTGTTGTAAGAATTTGAACTAGATTTAATTGCACCAATTTCTTTTAATTTTTCTATCCAATGATGAGAACTAGTTATATTCTTATCTTGATTCTTTGAAACATGAGAATATTGTTTGTGTCTTATATAAATTCTTATGCTAAGCTTCATTGTTAGGAGAGATTTCCACTTAAATCGTGCACCATGTCTTTTGCTTAGATTCATTGTGCATATTTAGAGAAGGTTTATTGGAATATGAAATCTTGAATTATATATTGAGTTTTAGAATTTGTTCGATTCTCTCTCAAAAAGAAATCCTAAGCTATACGTAGTTAAAGAAATGATTTAGGCCATGTTTGAACCAATTGAGCCTTTCGAGCCACCTTACTATATATTTATCCTTAAAATACCCCTTTGACCCTAATGTAACATTTTTCTTTGTTTAAACACTTAACTATTAACATAAACCCTTCCATAAAAATTTTCAATTTCTCATACCCTTCACTCTTAACTGCATAAGTTAATTTAGGAAGTGTAATGAGCTAGATAGTGAAAAAGGAACTAAAGATGAAAAGTGATTAGAAGATCAAAAGTATGATTGTATTCATCTCACTACTTAATAAAAGAAATAAATTTAGGGGTGTGATATTGAGAAAAAGAAAAAAAATGGCAGAAAAAGAAGAAAATGAATGAAGTGTTGAACAAAAGAAAATTTTGATAAAAAAGGGTGTACTTGGTGAAGGAAAATAAAGCTCTTTATAAGTCTTAGAATAACTATGTGCTTTGGGTGATTTGAGTCACATTAATATTCCATATCCTACCTTGACCCTAGCCATACATTACAAGCTTGATAAAGACCTAATGATCCTTAATTAAGTGTTAGTCTGCATTAGTGGAGAGAAAAAGAGATGAAAAGTAAACCTATGGAACTTTAGTACTAATTTGAATTTTACAAATGTATAAACTTATCCAGATTATATGATGTTTTTGGTGGAAAGATCACATGCACTCGGAAATCCATTTGTTGATGAGCTTGCATATGAATTAAAATTTGATCTTAAATAATATTTATGTGTTGCTTAAAGTTGAGAGTAGGGATTAACTTATGAGAATATTAAAGGTAATTATTGAGTTGGTGCAATTTATTTCTAGTTAAGTTGATTTTTTCATTGATGTTATTTCATTTTAGTTTATGTTTTGCTTGAAGATTAGTAAAATCTTAAGTTTAGGTATGTGATAATTCTATTATACAGAGTTATTTTATCACATTTTGTGAGCTTAAGTAGCTAAGAGGATGACCCCTAAACATTAGTATAAATGAGCTCTAAAGGTTTGGAACTAGAAAGAGTAAAATTATAAAATGGTAGTTTGTGACTTTTATTACATGCACACGAGTCACAATATGACAATTTATTTGAAGCATCAAAAGATAAACTAAATGATTTTAACATAAAGTGAAAATTTTGAGAAGATGGGTGGCCAAGTCGATTATTCTAGACAACAGGTGAGATTTTAAAAGTGATCAAGGCTATTGCATTGCTTGGAAAAAGTGGCAAGTGTCTTGGAAACTCATATTGATCATCTTTACTCAAGCCTTTCATTATAGGTGACTCCGTGCTTAAATACTTCACCAAAAAATGAAAAGGAAAAAATTCAATTGAAACATAGTTAATTTTGCAAAATTGAGAGACTAAAATGAGATTTCTTTTCATTCTAGGCACATGCAAAACACTAGATAATTAAAGAGGTTTACTTGTGTTTGGAATAACAATTGAACCTATGTGTTTAATGTTTAAACCATTGCCAACTATGATTATATCTTTACCACCATATTTAGAGTATAATGAAATATTATTCAAGTCGGAGGTGACACGATGAGAGGCTCTTGAGTCAATTACCCAATTCAAAAAATTAGCAACAGGTTTTTTGGAGATGTATTGTTGGATCTGCAATTCTGGGTAGAATGTCCTGGTTTTTCACAAAGTTGGCAAACTGATTTGGAGTAATTAGAAGCATGAGTAGGAATAGACTTTTTCTTGTTGAAATTGGTATAACTGTTTGGAGAGGAAAAATTGCTTTTAAAGTTACCTCATTTGTTTGGATAATTACCTTTGTTTTTTCGGGTGGATGGAACATAAATTTGCTATGGCAGTAGAGAGAGAATAAGACTTTTCTTATTTGATAGCTACCTCATAACCTAGTTGTTGTCATGGAGTTCTTCAAAATAATTTGATAGCTTCATAGCTCGAGTGACGATGGATAATTCCTTAAATTCTGGTTTAAGTCCATTCAAAATGAATATGATCAAATCTTCTTCATTTATTAGGCTTGAGCCATGGTTAGTTCATCAGTTGTGGTATTCATAAACTGTATATAATTTGCAATGGTCCTACATTTTTACGTAAAAAGTGTTACTTTTTCTTTAGAGACATTACTCTCTAGTACGAATCTTACAATCAAAGGGAGAATTGATTCTGAGACAAAAGTAATAATCGCATGAAGGATAAATTGATCTTGACGATACTAGAAAATATTATCTAGGTTGTGTTTCTTCAGTAGAAATCATTACTAGGGACAAGCTGTTGTGCTAGTGAGATAGCCAATGAGATCATGGCCAGTAATAAGTGATTTAAATTGGACTTGCCATGAGAGAAAATTAACTGATATTAAATTTAGTGGTAGTTGGACTACTGCATTAATAGAGATAGGACTAGGAGTTGTGGTTTGATTATTGGTTGAAGTAGTTAATGAAGAATTTGTGGGAGCCATAGGAAAAAAAATGAATCAAAGCTAACTAACCAAAATGCTCTGATATCATATAAATATTGGCAAACGTTGATATTAAATCAGCCGACCATTATTGATTTATCGTAAGTGTATATATATACACATAAGTCTAAGTTATCTTGAATACAAATTCAAACTATTGTTATAATTTAAACACAAATTCAAATTTTTATTATGATTTGAAAATAATAGAATTAGCTGATTTTGTGAATTGAGTTGATTTAGTAATCTAGAGATAATCTGCAATAGTTGTTATTGATTTGGCATTTGTTGCTAACTTGGTCATGTTCCTTACGGTAATATCCTCTACAAAAAGATTTAAGATTGAACTATCAATTATATTTATAGTTACTCAACATTCATTTGACTGCAGTCAAATGAAACTTCTTAGTAACTAACATTAGTTAAGATATGTGATTTTTATTTAAGAATAAGAACAAAGGAAATAAGAGGGATACTCAGTTTCAGACAAGGCGTATGCTCCATTGGTTTATTATCATTTTACGATTCTGGGTTCTAGAATCCATACAAACTTTATCTTAGCTTTCGTAATTAGGGAAAGAAGAAGAGAAAATCTTAGCTTTGTCAAGACTGCATCAGCATTTGGAATGGCCTCCAACAAAAGAAAACCCCATCATGATCAGCGCTGTGGCAATGACATGTGGCAAATCAAAGTTGCTTGCCTTGACGTGTGGATAGGATTTAACAATCTCAGATACTATGTCTCCTGTCTCACCTCCAACATCGACAAACGATCCGAGGTTGCTGAACTCAACTTTTTGCCCTGAGATTAACCGGGATCCTATGTTGCTGAAGTCATCTTTATACCCGAGACTAGCAGCTTTCGACGTGAGCCTAGCGTACACGCTATATCATCATTAAACATTTTGTTGATTCTGGATTTTGACATATAACAACTTTCCCAAATATTCTTGGCCATCATTGTTGAGATCAGTCACCGCCGTCATCTTTATACCCCGAGTTTTGCAGCGGCCGTATGTTGCTGAACTTATCTTTATTCCCCGAGATCAGCAGCTTTCAACGTGATCCTAGCGTACACGCCATATCATCATTAAACATTTTGTTGACTCTGGATTTTGACATTTAACAACATCCTGGGCATTATTGCTGAGTCACCACTGACTGTCTATTTGTACGTAATTTTATCCTTTTTAGCTATGAACTGCTATGTGCCAACTCAGCTGGATTTGTCTTATTTTGCCAGCAAATAGGTAGCTTTGTGCGAATTGTTGTATCATCCAGGACAAAACTCTAATTAAACCCATTCCTGCAATGCTTCACAGTTCACCCATGATGAGTTTAGGGTGGATGCCAGTGGGACAAAGCGCCAGCCATCCACCTCGCCTTTTTCATGGATTTTAAGTTAGAAAGCCGACATTGTATTATTGGGCGTACTCATTTGGGTGTGTTCATCTCGCCTCTCATACCACATTTGTGAACCAAGTTGTTTTGAAGGTTAGTACTGAGTACTACTTAACTCAAAAAGGTAAATAATTGAAATAAGATAGACATAAAATTTAAAATTTTAATTCCATTACTTGCTAACATTTTCATTTTTGCTTTCCTTTTATTATTTATTTATTTGCTTTAAAACATAAAAATGAATGAAAAACGAGTTGGGAATTAATCATTACTTAAAACCAAATAGTCATTAAAATTTATAATGATATGTTTTTGGAAAATAAAATATTCCATTTTTTAATTTTTAATCATTATAATTCTTTTCTATTGTCTGATTTTGATTTATAATTTGATAGTAAAAGTAATTACAGAAAGTCAAATAGTAATAAAAGTAATAACAACCAAACGAAGAGTCTTAATTTACATGATGGTGGAGTTTCAATATTTTAGTTGAACTAATATGCCACAAATTTTGGCTTCTTTCTTTATTCAAATTGGACAGATAGTGAATAGAAAAAAGGCAGATTCACAAAATGGAAAGTCACCATTGCATGCATTATGCTAAATGCCATAACATAAACAGCAAGAAGGAATTAATTTCTCATGCTACTCTGGATACGCCTCGATGATGGATGGAAAGGCAGGAATGTTGATGATTTTATAGCGAGGGAAGCCTCCTTCTTCCAAGATTTTCTTCCATTCGAGCTCGGTTCTCTCCTTCCCGCCAGAGGAGTGTGCAATCATTAGGAGATCGAATATGAACCCCATGTCATCAAACGGGTCCGTTCCATCTGGTTTCAGAACACATTCAACAATAATTACTTTCCCATTTTCTCTTGGTATTGCTTTCCTGCAGTTCCTTAAAATTTTGACGCAATCCTCATCGCCCCAATCGTGCAATATCCACTGCACAAGACAAAACTTAGAACAGTGTCCACATCAGGATGGGCTTTATACTAATTCCGGCTTTCTCATGATTTCAACCGTGTAGAACTTAGCTATAGAGGCATCCAAATTAAAATTCATGGCATTAATCTTCTACTACTGTTAAATTGATATTGATTGCCATGACAAGAAAATACTGTTAGTTTCTTGAAAAGGATTGGCAACCACAAAGTTAGCTATAACTTTTTCACATTGCCCTCCACTTACACAAAAAGAGTAAAGAAATGATAATTATAAAAGATCATGCTCACTAACTCCGGAGACCGCTTTAGAAAGGAAAAGATTTGATGTGATTTTGAGTTCAAATATCAAATTATCAAATCATGCCAATAGTTACGTCCTTTTGATTAGCCACTGGATCTAGAGTCGTATTTGATACTAATATATAGTATTAGTATTTAAACATAAACATAAACATAAACAAAAAAGGAAAACCAAAACTCAAACTCACAGCAACATTTATTTCCAAGTTCTCCTACAGAACCAAAACATATTGTATAAACTCTCTCCTCCGTATTAGTTACGCAAAGACAGAAGCCCCAACAGCACTATTTCTACTGCGATCTTTGGCAAAATTTCCTTCGTATCTTTCTAAAAAGAAAAAAAGAAAACTAATTGGCTGAAATGTTGTTTGAAATCCGAAATATTCCTATTTTAAATAGCTCAAATTTTCCATCAGAAAGAAAAGATGTAGATTATTTTGAGGCTTAAGTACTGATACTATTTGAACTTCGATACTCTGAACATTTAAATCCATGATTTAAGTACCTTCATCATGACTGCATCAGCATCTGGAATGGCATGGAACATGTCACCGCCAACATGGCAGACCCCATGGTATGCCGGTGCCGTTGAGACGACATGAGGCAAATCGAAGTTCACTCCTTTGATGTGCGGATTTGCTTTCACAATCTCGGATATTAAGCCTCCGATACCACCCCCAACGTCAACCAGTGATCCCATGCAGCTGAACCCTTCTTTGTACCCTGTCAGAATTGCCCTGGTCACAATCTTGGATGTACATGCCATGCCATCGTTAAAAAGCCTGTTGAATTCAGGATTCTCAGATGCAAAGTTCCATATCTCACGGCCATGAGCCTTCTTGAAAGCAATTCCACCTTCTTTCACACATTCGCTAAAGCAGTGCCAAGGAGCCATTTGCCATGGATGGTTCTCCATCAGTACCATGGGCGCCAGGGTAAGCTCCGAGTCATGTATAAGCCATGTAGACGAGAGAGTCAGGCCGTACAGAGGCTCTCCTCCGTCTGATGGATGCTGGACGGAGAAAACCTTTCTACGGACGAGCAATCTCATGATGCGAGCAAGGTAGGTGTTATCCGCAGGAGGAGAGCCGCCAATGCATGAAGCTATTTGTGACAAAGTGATGGCGCCACCGTGAGAGTGTATTATATCAGCTATGCGGAGCTCCACAGCAGACTTAAGCGCCATGGAATCTGCAAAGCTAAACATGTATTGCCAAATCTCCGCTTGGCCTTGCAGCGTTGCCTCACCTAATTTGCTTGTTTCCATTATTTCTCTCTCTTGTTCTAGAGAGTTGATTTGTCTTAATACTCAGAAAACGTTGGAGATAATAACGCCGGAGAAATGGCATAACAACTGAAGTTGCTGTAGGAAGTAGGAAATATATATTAGGACATACACTAATTAATAATCATAGGACGGAGCGAGTAGTTTTAATTTAACACATTTTATTTACTCAAGTGATGAGTGGAATTTCTAATTTTTAATCTTTATAATATTCAAATAGAGCAACTTTATTAGGCACAAGGTAAATGTTATGTCCTATTATTCCTTTCTAAAAATGAAGAAAAAAAAGAAGAAACAGCTGTTGATGAATTTCTCGGTTGACAATATTGGATGACAAAGTAATATGATGATAAAGTCAGGTTTACTCCATTAAGATTTAGGAGTTTACAAACACTGAAAAGGGCTCAAAATTTGTAAATGCAGCACCATGGTTAGTTTGAATAAATCTTGTGGACGCTGGATCCCAATCTATCTTTTCAATGCCACACTCTCTCTTACCTACCACACATTATCTCCAGCCAAATCATCAAAGTGCCTGCCAATTCTTTGCTGTTAGAGCTGCAGTAGTCAGTACGGCTTCTGAAATATGTCGTCCTTAATTAAGTGCTGCTGATTGGTGCAAAACTTAAAAAATAGTAAAAACAATTTTTTATTGAATAGTCAAACACAAAATCTTATTACCCAAAATCAATTTAAAAAATTTCTAAATTAGTATGTAAGTTATTCTTAAATACAGTATTATATTGCTGGCGGTTAGAGGCGGCCAAGCATGCAGTTATGAACGAATGTGTTCTGCTACCTGCAAATATTATTCAAACCTTTGTCAAAACTACAAGCAAATGTCTTTTTTTTAAAAAAAAAACTTTTAAGTCATGTCAATTCTCTCTCTAAATGACTAGCAATTCACAAGCAGAGTGGAGGGGGCTAGTAGGGGCTTTCTCCTTATAAAAATTTTAAAATTTTTATAACAACTTATTTTTTTGAAATTTTATAATTAGCCTTTATAAAAATTTTATAACATATTTTTATTTTTTAAAATTGTATAATTTTGTTCTTATAATAATTTTATACTTTATTTTTGTAATTTTTTATAACATACTAATATATCATTTGAATTTGTGTTTATCTTACATTGTATAAGGGAGTTGTTGGAGATAACAAATGACCACTCAAAAGCTTTATAACTTAAATCTCTAGATATACTAAATGCAATTTGTTTTAATATTGCTTCCTAAACAACGTCTCTAACAATTGAGAGAAGATAAATGAGAACTTTTGCTTCTGTCATTGAAGTTTTGTGAGAAATATGAAATTGAGATTCTTGACCTGGGCTAGATATAAATTACATAAAGATCAACTTCGAAAGGATCATGCCACATTTGAGCACTATTGTCAAGTTAATTTGTTTCTGGTTTCTATTGAGTCACTCTTATAAGAATTGGATTCTATATTTTTTTTTGAAAAGTAATTAGATTCTAAATTTAATGAGAATGTGGGGGAATTGCTCACTCTTGGCACATTTTTGGACCCCTCGAATGATTTTAAATTATTTGATGTTGAAAGTATTTGCAACCTGATAAATAAATATTACCTTGATAACTTTCCTGCACATCATATATACAAAATCATGAAAGCTTAAGAGGAAATTTCTTTATGGAAAGAATATTTTGTATTCACTGATCTATCTAAATGAAAACCATGATACAGAGTATTTATATACAGAAAAGTAAAGAAAAAAAGTTAAGTTGTTACAAAAGGAGGGAAAAGCTAACTGAAATTTGTTTTTAACAATTAACTAACAAGTTACCTAAGGTAAAATAGTAAAGTAAAAAATAAAATAAACTTAAATTATTTTACACATGCTTTTATCATTAAGAGACATGTGAGCTTCAAGTGTTCACTCTTTTCAATTTTCAAAAAAAAAAAATTGTTCGCTCCTTTTACATGATTTTATAAACCAAGTTTTTGTTCTAAACTTCCTTACATTGCAACTAAGATCTTCATTTCAGATTGATACTCCCTTTTAAGATGGATATTCATGGCGGAGCATAAATGTCATCAATATTCATCTCGTGTAATAATTGATGATATGGTGATGGCTGTAATGCTTTTGTCAACAAGTCTGCAATATATGATTTAGTAAGAATAGATATTCATCTCGTGTAATAATTGATGATATGGCGATGGTTGCAATGCTTTCTTCAACAAGTCTGCAATATATGATTTAGTAAGAATAGATATTGGTTCAACTAGTCCATTGAGTACCTTTTCCCTTATAAAATGACAGTCCATTTTTGTGTTTTGTACACTCATGGAACACTGGATTGCAACATATATGAATGGTAGATTGATTATCACAATAAAGCTTTACTATGGTACTTTGTTTAATGCTTAAATCAAATAAGAACTATTTTAACCATATGATTTCACAATATGTAGAAGCCATTGACCTGTACTCTACTTCTGTTAAACTCCAAGCAACTACAAATTGCATTCTAGATTTTCAACTGGCCAATAACCCTCCTAGAAACACATAATACCCTGTAATGGATTTTCTTGTATCAACACAACTTGCCTAGTCACTATCTAAGTAGGCTGATATGCTTAAATTTGATTCTATCTTCATAAACATCCTTTGCCTTGGAGCTGACTTAAGATACTTCAATACTCTGTAAAGTGCAAACAAATGTTCTTGCTTTGTCTTGTCCATGAACTAAGACAACACTTGAACAACATAGGAAATATCAAGTTTTGGTGAATGTTAAGAATAAGAGTTTGCCTAACAATTGCTTATATCTTGTTGGATTGGCAACCTCCTTTCCATCAATGTCCTTGTTGAGCTTATGATTGTAATCTATGAGAGTAGTCGCTGGCTTGGTACCAAGCATACCATATTCATCTAAAAGATCTAGTGTATACTTCTTTTCACAAATCGAAATACCTTCTGGACCCTTAGTAATCTCGAGCCTTAGGAAATATTTCACTATTCCTATGTCTCTCAACTTGAACTATGAACTCAAATACTTCTTCACTTGATCTGTTACTTGAGCATTAGTACTAGCGATTACTATGTCATCAACATATAAATAGAGCGATAAATTCCCCATTGATTGTTGTCATAGTAAACAAGAGTAATATGCATATGACTGAATGAATCCATACTTGAATGAAGAATCTAAAAATTTTGAGTTCCATTGCCTTGAGGCTTGTTTCAAACCATAAAGGGATTTATGTAGCTTACACACCAACTTAAAACCAAGTGGAATCTCCCCTTTGACAGAATAACTTGGAAAAAATTCCATATAAACTATCGCATCAAGGTCACCATTCAAGAATACACTGTTGACATTTAACTATCACAAAATCAACATTTTATCAGCTACTAATGCCATGAAAACTCTAATAGTATTTTATTTAGCAATAGGGTTGAATGTTTCATGATCATCAAACCCTTATACTTGATTGTAGCCTTTAGCTACCAATCTTGTTTTATATCTTTCCATAGTGCCATTTGCATTCATTTTAACCTTAAATAACCATTTTATATCCAATTGCATGAGAATTTGAAGGTAAAGGTACAATACTCCATGTAGCATTATCTTCCAAAGCTTTAAGTTCACATTGCATTGCATCTTTCCATGAGAGTAATTAACAACTTGATCATAGGTTTTAAGTTCATAAATTTTAGATAGATTGGCAATAGAGGCCATATGTGCAAAAGACAATTGATGACAGGATAAAAATTTGGTTATGGGATGAGATGTGATAGAATGAGAAATAGAAGGTAAATCAATTTGATAAGTTCAAGGTATCTTGGAACATGTCTAGGTCTACTATTTTCCCTAGGTAATGAAACAATGTCAGTAGTAGGATTGATCGATGCATGAACAGAACTTGTAGGATTGTGTTCAATAACAAGTTCATTTGAATTTTGAGGTATATAAATGAGTTCTAATGAAGAGTGAGTTTTAGATAATGACATAAGTGCAAACGAAGATGATTCAAGAGAAAAATGAAGATTATGTGTGAAATTCACAATATCAGGAGCTGAAATATCAAAATTAAAGTCATGCACACCAAGTGTTTGTGAAAATGAATATTGATCTATGGTATTCTATGATGATTGGAAAGGAAAGATGTGTTTATGGAAAACTATATTCTTGGATATAAGAAACTTATTTGCACTAATGTCATACATTTTATAACCTTTGATGCCACCTGGATATCTTAAGAAGACACATTTGATTGCTCTTTCATCATATTTCCTTCTATTTTGTGTTAGAGTAGATACAAAACACAAGGATCCAAGTACTTTTAAATGATCATAATTAGGAGTCTTTGAATAAAATAGCTCATAAGGTGATTTATCATTTAAGACCTTAGTTGCCATCTTGTTAACAATATGAGCTATAATAAGAATTATTTCTCCCCAAAAAGACACAAGTAATGATGATTGAAACATTAAAGCTCGAGCAACTACAAGTAAATATTGATGCTTTCTCTCAACAACCTCATTTTGTTGAAAGGCCTCTACACAGAACAATTAATGAACAATACCATGTTTCTCATAAAAATCAGTAAGATTAAATTCTCCTCTACTATTTGTTCTAAAACATTTAATAAATGTTGAAAATTGATTTTTAGCATACTTGCAAAATAAAGGTAAAATTGATGATACATTAAACTTATTTCTCATTAAGAAACCACATGTAAATTGTGAAAAGTCATCCACCAAAGTAATGAAATACTGTTAACCTTTAATGGTTGGAACAACATAAGGTCCTCAAGCATCAGAATGAACAATTTCAAATGGGAAAGTTGTATTTTTTGCATGAATGGGAAATGGTAGCTTTTCATTTTTACAAAAAGACAGATTTCACAAACTAAGTCCTTTGAACAATCAATGTCAAGGCATTGTTCATGGATGACATTTAGGCTATTCAAAGGTATATGGCCTAACCTAAAATGCTACAATTAAATTGTTATACAGTTTTTTGCAAGAATTGATAGAAAACATTAAAGGAAATTGTACAAGTTTATTAAAACTAAATTTGGAAAGATATTGTTCATCTTGAAAGTCTTGCAAGAAGTACAAGCTGATGAAACTTTAGCAACCCTAGTCACCCTCCATGAGTAGAAATCTTAAATAACACATTGTTTATCAATAAAGAGGACACAAGCTTTTTGACAGGAAGAGTTTAGTCACTAAAACAAGGTTAAAATGAAATAAAAGTATGCACAGGAGACTATCCAAAGTTAACAAAGAAGTCAATCTAACTGGTCTTATGTGTGTCACAATGGCTTTGACATTATTAGGTACATGAACATAATAGTTATTAACTAGTCTTACAGAACTAAAATTTACCAAAGAGCATGCTATGTGATTAGTTGCACCAGTATTTATTATTCAAGAATTTTGTTTAACCATGCACTGCTTGACATCTTTATATTTATGTGGAAGATTATTTGAAGTGTTAAAATAAGATAGGCTAGAAATAATACCTGGAAAGGCTGAGTTGACCAAAGATGGCTTTATTGGTTGAGAATTTGATGAACCTTCATAGTAATCTTCACTATTTTATACCATTCTCACTGAGAATTGACATCAATTTCTAAACCTGATGGTTAATGAGTGATATCTGAGACATGGAGTTTGCACCAAGAACCTTTTCATTTTTATCAGTTCTTACATATGAGCTATTTCTAATAAAAATAAAAACATTGTTCATTGTTGATTTTCCTTTATTGAAGTTTCCTTTTCCCATTGTGAATTTAAAGTCTTTAGCGAACCTTATTAATTTGTGTAACTTCTCCTTAACATGACCTTTCTTTCCATAGTGATTACAGATCAATTCGGCTTTAGCTTTTTTCTTATTATCCATAATAGTTATCATGGTAGATAATTCTATTGTAAGATTAGACTGAACCAGCATACTTCTCTAAGATTTTTCCTTCAGAACCATGTTGTAAACTTTGTCAAGCTTAAGAATTGGTTCCATTGAGATAATTTGAGACCTCAGTGCAGAATATGACTTATTGAGTCCATTTAAAAACCTAAAAATCATATTTTTTTTATATTAGTTTAAGTACTTATTAAAACATGCAAGATTACACTTACCACTTTTGTAATGTGGTAGTGCATGAAATTTCTTAATTCTTCCCAAATCCCTTTTAACTTAATGAAATACAAATCCATTGTCCTAGTCCCTTGATTCACATTATCTAATGTGTACTGCAAGTTGCATACATGAGTGTCATTAAGTTCTGCAAAATTTTGCTTTACAGTATTCCATATTTCAGCTGCATTGTCTCTATAAAATATAGTTAAGGCAATGGGAGGTGTAATTAAATCTAGAAGCTAAGCTACTATCTCTTGTTACACCTTAACTAGGAACTAAAGAAAGGATGTCAAGCTAGGTTTAGGAATTGCGCCATCTAGAAATCCAACTTTTCATCTTTATCAATTCTTTCATATGAGTTATTTCCAATAAAAGTAAAAACATTGTTCATTGTTGATTTTCCTTTTTTGAAGTTTCCCTTACCTATTGTGAATTTAAAGTCTTCAGGAACCCTATTAATTTGTAAAACTTCTTAACATGACCTTTATTTTCATAATGATTATATGTCAATGTAACTTTAACTTTCTTTTTATTATCCATAGTAGTTATCATGGTAGATGATTTTATTGTAGGATTAGACTAAACTAGCAAACTTATTTGAGATTTTTCCCTCAAAATCATATTGTAAACTTTATCAAGCTTAGGAATTGATTCCATTGAGATAATCTAATACCTCAATGCAGAATATGACTTATTAAGTCCACTTAAAAACTTAAAAATCATATTTTTTTATATTGGTTTGACTACTTGTTAAAACATGTAGAATTACATTTGCCACATTCGTAATGTGGTAGTGGCCAGAAATTTGTTAATTCTTCCTAAATCCTTTTTAACTTGATGAAATACAAATCCATTGTCCTAGTCCCTTGATGAAATACACATTGTTCTAATGTGTATTGCAAGTTGCATATACGAATGTCATTAAGTTCTACAAAATTTTGCTTTAGAGTATTCCATATTTCAATTGCATTGTCCATGTAGAAGAGAATCGAGGCAATGGGAGGTGTACTTAAATCTAGAAGCCAAGCTACTATCAATTGTTACACTTTAACTAGGAATTAAAGAAAGGATCTGTCAAGCTAAGTTTAGGACTTGCCTCATCTAGAAATCTAACTTTATTTCTTATGGATAAAGCTAATAGGAAAGATCAGCTCAAGCTATTTAATTGCTATAGTTAAGTTTAAGGTTAATAACAATTGATCCATGGTTATCATTATGATGCATATAAAAAGGAGATTGGAGGTCCTCCAAATGCAAATTAGAAGACTTAGGGTTTGAAGAATTAACATCCATGGCAGAATATGACTTATTGAGTCCATTTAAGAACTTGAAAACCATATCATTTATATATTGGTTTGAGTACTTGTTAAAACAAGCAAGATTACATTTACCACATTCATAATGTGGCAATGGCTTGAAGTTTCTTAATTCCTCCCAAATCTCCATTAACTTAATGAAATACGAGTCCATTGTCCTAGTCCTTTGAATCACATTACCTAATGTGTATTGCAAGTTACATACACAATTGTCATTAGGTTATGCAAAATTTTGTTTTAGACTATTCCATATTTTAGCTGCATTGTCCATGTAGAAGATAGTTAAGGCAATGAGAAGTGTAATTCAATCTAGAAGCCAAGCTACTATCAAATTGTTACACCTTAACCAAAAACTAAAAAAAAGATCATCAAGTTAGGTTTAGGAATTACCACATCCAAAAATCCGACTTTATTTCCTATGGATAAAGCTAATAAGAAAGATCCGCTCTAAGCTATGTAATTACTGTCGGTAAATTTGAGGTTAACAACTACTGATCCATGGTTATTACTATGATGTATGTAGAAAGGAGATTAAAGGTGCTCTAAATACGAATTAGAAGACCTAAGGTTTTAAGAATTAATATCCATTGTTTGTGAATCCTCAACCATGAACAAATTTCTAGAAACTTAATCCTCAAATCAACAATCACTAGATCAAGATTCTAGTAAAATGAAATATTCAATGAAACTTCAAATAAATTTTTAGTTCTTTATCGATCCAAGATCTAAAACTTGAATAAAAAAAACTATGATGAATTTGAAGTAAAATTACCACAAATTTAGTAAACAAGATGAATTGATTGCAAACCTTGGGAAATTTGAAAAAGATTCACTATCAAGATTCTCTATCTTGAACTTGCTCTGATATCATGTACAAAATCATGAAAGCTTAAGAGAAAACTTCTTTGTGGTAAGAATACTTTGTATTCACTAATCTATCTAAATGAAAATCATGATACAAAGTATTTATATACAAAAGAGAAAATAAGAAAAGAAAAGCTGTTACAAAAGGAGGGAAAAGCTAATTGAAATTTATTTTTACCAACTAACTAACTAGTTACCTAAGATAAAACAATAAAGTAAAAAATAAAATAAACTTAAATTATTCTACACATGTTCTTATCATTAAGAGACATGTGAGCTTCACATGTTCACTCTTTTCACTTTTTTTTTATAAACCAACTCTTTGTTTCAGACTTTTTGACATTGCAACCAAGATCTTCATATCAAATTGATATGCTAAAATGCATCAATTTGATCTATTCAAGTTTAAAAATTTTCATAATCAAGCTTTAAAAAACGTATTTATACTTTTTAAACTATGTCAAATGTTAAAGAAAATGAGAATATAAAAAGTTTACTTCCTTGTTGACAGATTGATTCAACTTATCTTTAATTTTTCAGTTTCGAATACAACACCAAAGCATGCATTTTTTATTATGAAAGACATTAAGAACGAGACTCGTAAAAGAATGTCAAATGATTTTTTTAGAAATTCATTAATCATTCTCATTGAAAAGAAAATCATTCGAAGCTTTGACATTGATTCAGCGATAAATGGGTTTAACTCTAAGAAAGATTATCAAGCTCAATTAAAAATGTCCAATCTTAGTATGCAATAGTTGTTAAAAAATGTCTTTATTTTGTACTTAACTTGTAGTTGGAGTTATTTGTGTACTTTTCACATAAATTTTTTTCATCAAAGTTACTTTATGTTTTTATCAAACATTGAACTTCTAGTATAACTATTTTATAGACATCGTCTTCACCCCTCAAACACGAAATCTTGACTTCGTCGCTGACTAGCTTCTCGAACTAATTCATGTTAGGCTAAATTAAATTATATTAGTAATTTATTTGAATTTTGAATTTGTTTAGACTAAAATGTTTCTAAGTGAAATAATTAGTTGATAGTGAAAACTAAAAAATTCATTAAAAAGCCAAATTGTTTATAAACTTGAGATAAAGCTGAAACTAATATATATATATATATATAATCTTAAAATATATATATATATATAATTTACATAATAAGTAGTTAACCTTTATATAATAGTTTATTATAATTAGATAATAATAGAATTGTAGTAAGAATTTTAAGTGAAATACTTACATTAAAAACTACTCTTTTTTTCCATGAGATACTACGCAATAACAGTAATAAAATTTGAACCTAGTATCACTTACATTAAATTAAACAATCTTATCAATTGAGTTAACATGATATTATAATATTGTTGATTTCATGTGAAGATATATCTTGAGAGATTTGGTTTATAACATTGTTGATTTCATGTGAAGAATTGTTGATTAATTTTTCTCCCTCCTCTTTTCTTGGTTTGTCGAGATTTGGAAAAGGAATTAATAGGTTAAACACATGTCGCTCTAGTATATACTAATTAGAATTTGTTGCCACGAGGTTGAAAGAGAGGAAAATCTGAAGTATGAATGACTAGCAACACTCTGGATTCAAAAAGCTCGTATACATAACTATTATTGAACACCAATTCATCTATCGATGATAATGTCCTTTTATTCCAAAGGCGTTTCCGCCTTGGCTGGACTGTGATTGGCCAAACGTTTATTACTACCTTATTTTCCCTACTATTTGGGTGCAGTCAGGAGTGGATATGAAATGGTAGAGTCACAAAATGAAAAGTTTCCCAGGATTGACTGTATGCATAGCAATTTTGCATTAAACAACAATTTCATCCTACTTCGGGTAGGCCTCGATAATGCAGGGTAGAGCAGGAATGTTGAGGACTTTGTAACGAGGGAAGCCTGCTTCATTTAATAGTTTCTTCCATTCAAGCTCAGTCCTCTGTTTTCCACCAGAGGAATGTGCAAGCATTACGAGATCGAGCATCAAACTCACGTCATCAAACAGGCCACTTCCATCTGGTTGCAGAACACATTCAACTAAAATCACTTTCCCAGTTTCTGATGGAATTGAGTCTCTGCAATTTCTTAAAATTTTGATGCAATCCTCGTCACTCCAGTCGTGCAATATCCACTGCAAAATACATTAAAAAAGCATCAAAATTTGCTTAATTAGGATTGTGTTCTTATCCCCGTGATCTTTCTTTTAGTAAAAACTATTCTTTAAACTTTGAAGTGTTACAAGAGTGCATGCACAATTTTGAAAGAGAATTTCATGAAAGAATTTGTCAGTTGTGCGGAAAGGATTTGCAACAGGAAAGTTGGTAACTTTTATCCAACTGTCCTCCACTTATATATTAAACAAGGATAATAAATTCTCAAATTAAAAGCATTACTATTCATATGAATCCTGAATTTAATTAGTGGAAGACAGAGTTCAACGAGAAAAGTGTTACGTATGTTGTCATTGCTTTTGATTTCAGCACCCGAACAATCAAAGTCGAAGCCTACTTAAATCATGGAACTGTTTGTAGCATAAAAAACAATGTCAAATTATTTTAATAAAAGATTAGAGACTAGTTTAACAGGTCTGACCTTCATGATAACTGCATCAGCATTAGGAATGGCCTGAAACATATCACCTCCAATGTGGCAGACCCCATGGTATGTCGCTGCTGTCTCGATGACGTGTGGCAAATCAAAGTTAGTCCCTTTGATGTGCGGATATGCTCTCACAATCTCAGATATCAAGCCTCCTGTCCCACCTCCAACATCAACCAATGATCCTATGGAGCTGAAACTGTCATTGTACTCTGATAGAATTGCCCTGGTCACCACTTTGGATGTACAGGCCATGGCATCGTTAAAAAGCTTGTTGAATTGAGGATTTGCTGATGCAAACTCAAATACCTCACGTCCATGAGCCATCTTGAAAGCAATGCCACCTTCTCGGGTACATCGACTAAAGTAGTGCCAGGGAGCCATTAGCCAGGGATGGTCCTGCATCAGAATCAGGGGTGCCAGGCTTAGCTCCGAGTCATGTAGAAGCCATCTTGATGAGTGAGTCAGGCCGTAGAGGCACTCTCCACCATCTGATGGATGATGGGCTGTGAAAAGCTTTCTACGGATGAGCAATCTCATTATGCGAGCGAGGCAGGTGATATCGGGAGAAGCGGAGCCATCAATACATGAAGCTATTTGTGCCAAAGTGATGGGGCGATGGTGAGAGTTGATTATATCAGCTATGCGGAGTTCCACAGCACACTTAAGTGCCATGGAATCTGCAAAGCCGAACATGAATTGCCATATCGTGGCTTGGCCCTGTACCAATGCCTCACCTTCTTTTGAATCCATTTCTTTCTTTTGCAAGAGAGTTTGTTTCTTACTTCTCATGCAAAGTTGGTGAAGGGAAAGAGAACCATTTATGCAGGAGCAGTTGTGTAATGCTCAAAAGCTAGGAATCGTCTATTTGAAAATATGCAGAAACTAGGACTATACCTAAAGACTTAAGCCGCCCCGTAACCAATGAGATAATTTGTTTCCATTAACCATTTAAATTTTTTTCTTAAAAAAAAAAAGTAATTTTAAGGTCTCTTACCTAGGAAAGTAAGTTTGAACAATTTTATCATATTATTATTTCTCTTATTGGAAAAAGCTTGAGTGGTACATTTGGCAATTGTCAATTTGTTGCTGAGTGGTTTTATATGTAACACAATATCGATTTAATAGAACTAAAATGTTGAAGGACAACTTTCTACAAACTTCCTTGTTAATTTCAACTAAGAATGTAAAAGTAAACATCTTGGACAACGTCAGATGAATTAAAATTATAAACAACAGGATGAAAAGTGGCATCCTTTTATTAGAGACGATTTAATAACTTTAAAGGTCTAACGCTATTTAAATGAATTTTTTATTTAAATTAAAAAAGAGATATTTTTATTGAATTTAAAGAAGAGTAAATAAGAAAAGAAGAATTCATAAATAAATATTATAAATTAAAAAATAATTAGTTTTATATAGTAAAAAGAAATTATTATTAGAGATCATTAAATATATATTATCCTTAATTGATATGAAATAGAAAAAATAATTGAAAATTAATAATATTGTGGGAATCGAACAGTGTTAAAAAAATTAAAATTTATTAAGTAGAATTATCTTGACTTTTATATATTTTTAATAAAAAATTAAATAAATAGTTAGAATGAATAGAATATGAAAATGAGATAAAAAAATATTTTTTAAACATAAAAGAATAATTTATTAATTATTTAATTATTATATATTTTTAATATAAGTAATTTCATTATTATAATAAAATTACGACATCTCCTCAAATTTAAAACCGGGAGCCCTACTTTAGTGGCTTTACACAGCAGCCGGCACCGCCTTTAACAGGGAATAGTGTGCGTTTGCGACTTGTTTTGTCAACTAAGGGGGCAGTTAATGGCTCTGTGCTCAAGAAATTGGGGTAAAAACACTGGGACATCTATATCAATACTTGTGCAGATTAGCATTAAAAAATTATATTCAAGGTTGAGGATTTTGTACGTCGACCTGACTTAGTTACATTGAGCAGAATGACGGTCTCCATGACTATTGTGCTGAATAAGTACACGTTTGAAAAAATCGCACTATTAAATATTTGGACAGGTGATCAGATGATTCAGGTTTAAAACTAAAATAACTTTGTTTCAAAATTATAAGATTAAACAACTATAGAGTTCCATTTATGTCTCCTACACACGTCAAGGGTTGGAATTTAACATTTTTTTTAATTAAACTTCATGAAAACCAAAGTCTAAAACTGTGGAACTTGATAGAGAGAGAAGCAATCTGAAAATTACTAACCAGCGACTGGGGGCTAGAATTGTTGAAAAAGGTAATGCAAACGCACAAAAAATTTAACTTTTCTCTTAAAGGAGATCATTTTCTAGCTGTTTAATATAGTTTACTCGTACTAATTGGTAAAGCTTACTTTTGATGTAGAAAGAGTCTACAACACTTTCAGTGGGTTTGGTTTACCAAATATAATAAAAAGAGAATGAAATAGTTATTCTACAAAAGTAGAATAAAGCAGGAATAGGATATAATAAATGTTATATAATTTGGTTTATACAATAAAATTGTCATTTTAATATTATTTTAATATTTAATTGGTAAAAATAATTTGAAAACAAGTAAAAATAATAAAATGATAAAAATATTTTTTATTATAATTTAGTAAAATTTATACCAAAAGATAAAATTATTCTTTATTATAATTTAATAATATATTTATGCCAAAAGAAGAAATTATCCTTGACTACAATTTCATAATATCTTCACAAGATACAAAAAATCTTTTTACTATAATTTAATAATATTTTTATCAAAAGACAAACCTACAATTTATTATAATTTGGTAAAATTTATACCAGCTATAATTTAATAATATTTGTACTAAAAGATGAAATTACTCATAATTATAATTTAATAATATTTTCACAAAAAAATCTTTAGCTATAATGGTAGAATTTTTTTTTTATAATTGAGAGAGGGGGGATTCGAACCTTACTTTTTAAGCATGGAAATAATGCATCAACTAACAAACCAAACGCTCAAGTGCAACTATAATGGTAGAGTTGTTGACGTGTTCATACCAAAAAAGAGTCTTGCAGGACAAAGGAAGAACAATAAAATTTGCGTTTATTAGATATAGAGAGAGAGGCATGAAATGGAAAAGGCAATTAGATGGGGTAACCACTAGTGGATAGATGGAAAGTGAGTCACCGTGAGAATGGCAGAACCAAAGAGGAAAGGAAACGAAGTGCCATGGTTGACGACTATGGAAGTTTCAAAGCACTAACAAGGCGATCAGGGGATAAGAGGTTGATCTTTCAAAGAGGCTGTGATGGGGGACAACAGGATAGGAGCGGAAATCAAACAAGAGGAAGGAACCCTGTAGGAAAATTTAGGGAGAAAGCAAAGATACAACAAATGGTGGCAGTCAAAAACGATACCAAGGAGAAAACAGAGGCGTTGCTCAAAAACAGGGTCATAAGATTGTCTTCGTCAACACAACAATACCAGATGATGATATGGATTGGATTAATCGCAGTGTAGTCGACAAGCTTAAAAAAGGAGTGTAATGTAACGTTATCCAATTCAATTTGGCCAATGACGGAATGGAGGTCAACGTGAGAATTCTCAAAGGAATGATGGTCCATGTGACTTTTGAAGAGATGGGAACAATGGAAACAATCCTAGAATCATACATGGAGCTGATGGAGACATGGTTCACCTCTATTTCTCCGGCGGCATACGCTGATCAAATTAGAGAATTCGGTGTCTGGGTTATGCTTTGTGAAAAACCAATTAAGGCATGGCATGTCAACACCTTCAAGGCCATTAGTGATTTTTGGGGAAGATTTATTGGCATCAATAGAAAGGCCGGACCATGCCTTTGTGCTTGTGATGGTGAGTAGTAGGGTGATGATTCCAAACAAAGTGTGCGTTGAAGCAAAAGGGGAAAGGCATATTATTCTGGTTAACATCATGGGAACAAAAGCAATTGTAGCCTAGAGTGCTACATGAAAAGGAAAGAGGCCATCCATGTTGGATATTTTCAATAATAATAAATGTGAGACAAAGGTTCACTTTGGAAAAAGAAAAGGAAAATAAGCTATTTCAAAAGAGAGGAGTATGAGTATATTACAATGGGACTTTAATAGAAAATGGACCATGAATGGGTTTTCTAGGTTTGGGTGGGTTTGAAATTAATTAAATTTAATATTTAATTATTGATAATGGCACTTGGCATATAAATATTGAAAACAGACATAAATAGATTATGTCTGAAACAAGACACAATTTTATATGTTGATTTAACTATTAAAAATAGAAAAAAAATTATTTTTGTCTAAAATAAACACAATTGTGTCTGTTGGAAAACTACCTCAGTTGCTTATAAATACGACCTTCTTATGAAACAGAAAAAACACAGAAACAATAAAAACAAAACACTCCCTCATATTTTTTCAAAATTTTTTAAATTTTCTTCTGTATTATTTTACTATAAAAAATTATACAAAAAACTAGATAATTGTGTTATTCATCAGTAAATGCTCAATGAATCAACTTCGTCAGTGCATAACACAGTCAATCACTAGGCTTCATTATGTCCTCGAGGTTTATTGCCTATAACCTTTTTGCACACTATCAATGGGGGTGAATAAAACCTTAAGGACAATGGCAATATTACACACCTTGAAACCATTTCAGTATTTTTCAGTTAGGTGTTTTAACAATTTTAAAGTTTTAATTTGTTTTAACAATGGTTACTACAAGTGGAACACTAAAAGAATTGGCTTCTGATTTTGTGGAATTGGACCAGTTTGATGGTGGCAACTTTCTAAGATGGCAAAAGAAGATGCATTTCCTACTATCAACATTGAAAGTTGTCTGTGTCTTGACTACACCTAGACCAGAAAAAGGTAGAAATAAAAATGTTGCTGCAACCAGAGAGAGGCAGAAATGGGACAATGCTAATTATATGTACAAAGGTCATATCTTGAATGGTTTGGCTAATAGCTTATTTGACACGTACCAGAATGAAGCTACTGCAAAAGAATTATGGGATAAACTGGAAATTAGGTATATGACAGAAGATGCAACAAGTAAGAAATTTCTTGTTAATCGCATTAATAATTATCAAATGGTTGATGGGTGTTTTGTTATAGAATAAGTGCGAGAAATTGAAAGAATGCTTAATCAGTTTAAACAATATAAAATGAAAATGGATAAAACTATAGATGTATCCTCCATTATAGATAAACTTTCTCCATCATGAAAAAACTTTAAAAGAAGTTTGAAACATCAAAAAGAAGATATAACTGTTGAGGCTTTGACAAATCATCTTCGAATTGAAGAGGAATACAAGATACAAGAATAAGTTGTTGTTTCTGAAGAAGCAAGAGTACACATTATGGAGGAAGGACAAGGCACTAAATCTATCAAAAAGAAGTTCAAATAGATTGCTAATGGTTCGAAATTTAAAAAAAAGAACAAAAGCACATGATTATATTATGGAAAACTAGGATATTTCAAAAAAGAATATTGATTATTGAAGAAGAAAATTACTTTTTCAAATGGTGCTGCTTATGAAAATTTTATACCTATGATTTCTGAAATCAATATGGTTAAAGAAAAAGATGATTGGTGGATTGATTCAGGAGCAACAAAACATATGTGCAATGACAATAATCTCTTCAAGAATTTCACTCCAAGTGACCATGGAAATTTTTTATACATGGGAAATTCTTCTACAACAACCATTAAAGGTAAAAGGACTGTTGAGCTTGAGTTCACTTTTGGAAAAATTCTAACTGTGAAAGATGTTTACTATGTTCCAGAAGTTAAAAAAAATTTAGTGTTTGGAAGTCTATTAAATAAGGTTGGTTTCAAGCTTGTATTTAAGGAAGATAAATTCATTCTGTCCAAGGGAGAATATTTGTTGGGAAAGGTTATATGTGTGAAGAAATGTTTAAGCCAAATATTATTAATAATAATAAAAATAAGACTGTTGTTTTTGCTTATATAATTGAATCCTTTTATTTATAGCATTGTAGATTAGGACATTTAAATTATAAAAGATTGGACAATATGTATAAAATGGACTTAATTCCATAATTTAATCAAAATATTGATAAATGCAATACATGCATGCCAAAAAAAAAACTAGAAATCCTTTTCTTAAAGTTAAAAGAAATATTAAATTACTTGAACCAATATATAATGATGTGTGCGATATGCATAGTACACCTACATTAGCTGGAAAGAAATATTTGATCACATTTATTAATGATTTCTCTAGATATTGCTATGTATATTTGCTACATTCTAAAGATGAAGTGCTTGATAAATTTAAGGTTTATAAAACAGAAGTAGAATTACAATGTGAATCTTATATCAAGTGCTTAAGATCGGATAAAGGTGGAGAATATTATAGTCCAAGTTATTTTTCCTCTACCAGAATAATCCATCATATTTCAACACCTTATACACCACAGCATCATGGTGTGGCAGAAAGAAAAAATAAGGTCTTGATCGAAATGGTAAATACTATGTTATCATAATCAGGTCTTGAAAAGGGTTTTCGAGGAGAAGCTTTATCAACAGCTTGTAACATATTAAATAGAGTTCTTAAAAAGAAAACTAAAATAACCCTATATGAGCAATGGAATAGAAAGAGATCTAACCTTTGCTATTTAAAAGTTTGAGGTTGTAGAACTGTAGTTAAAGTTCTGAAACCTAAAAAAAAAGAAACTAGGTGAAAGAGGAATAGAATGCATATTCATAGAATATGCACAACATAGTAAAGCATATAGGCTCATGGTAATTGAACCAAATGATTCAATTGAAGTTAACACTATTGTTGAATCAAGAGATGCAATTTTTGAAGAAAATAGATTCAAATCTGTGTCAAGAAAACTACAATCACAACAATCAATACAATCAAATGACATTCCATTGGAACAAAATGAAAATAATGATGAATCTAATCCAAAAATAAGGAAAGCAAAAGGGCTAGAAAGGTAAAAGATTTTGGTCCAGACTTTTATATGAATGGGTATAGTTTTGTTTATTCAAATTTATTCTTAATACTTTTAATTATTTGATCAACAATTAACTAACTTGTGATCTAATTGAGACTGGTTCATGACACTTAGGCGATCTGATTCGTGATTCGAGTAGACATACATCAATTGCCACACATAAATAAATTAGAACACTAGCTTAATAAACCTTGTTTAATTGATTTCTATAAATATATAGTGACCCAATTAAGTTAGGTATTTATACAAGCATCTCGATGAAGACTTTTACATAGTTTGGATTCTAGGTTAGTAAAATCACCTATTAATATAAATAATAAGAGAAGTTCATATCAGATGAAAGAGTTGAATGAACTCATAATCCTAGATTTAAGTCTGTAGCCTTTCTCAAGTAAATTTTAAATTCTGTTAACTAATTTCGTGTTTTCTTTAACTTAGTTTTGATTAATTTTTCTAAAGAATTTAGTTATTTGAATGAGATTAATTTATCATAATTTTAGTAGTTAGTGAAGATTTATAAACAAATCTCTATAGGATATAATTTTGGATTTACTGTTTACATTACTTGTTCGATATGTATACTTGTATATATAAAAATTGACAACACATTTCAAGATCAAATACAACCTTTTCAAAGAAAAGCAATCAAAAAATAGATAATTCTAGTCCATTGCAGTTCAAAGGATCAACCTACTGACATCTTCACTAAGTCATTGCCAAAAATCAAACTTGAAATGTAAAGGAAGCTAATTGGAATTTGCACCAAAGCAGCCAAGGAGAAATGCTGAACCATGGCTAACTACGCTGCTCCTTGCCTCTGCAAATCAGCTTCAACAACTACAGATCAATTTGTTTACTTCAATGCTAGTTCTTTCATTGCAGATCACATGTTTGCTTCTTTTCCTTGTTCTTTTTGGTACATGTCTACTCCATTACTTCTTATCTGGTTTATCTCCACTCTTGTTGACTTTTTTGTATTGGATTGAAAAATATCTAAAGCATTTGTTTCAAGTTTGCTTGGTTCTATGTTAGCTGAAGTCACCATTCTAGCACAAGAGCCATACCTCTTCATAGAAGCTCTTTGCTTAGTACCTGTTTGGTTTGGGTTTTTTCAGCTTATTTACCCCTTAAAAATAAAAATCAGATCAAACATTATTTTTAAAAAATTTTAAAAAAAAGTAATTTTTTTCAAAAAATAATTTGAAAAAAAAAACTTAAAGAAAAGCTCCAGTGGGGAGCTTTTTCTTTAGTTCTTTTAAAAATACATCAATTTTTCATGAAATATCCTCTTTCAATCAATCCCTTTCTCCTCCCGTTCCCTTTGCAAATCACTATTCTCCAACACAAATTGTGATCTCCTTCTCCTCTATCTTTCTCTACAAAAACTACCAAGAGAAAAAAATAAAAAAAGAAGACCAAACAACAAAATAGTAAAATATAGAATATTTTATTCTTATAAAGATTAAGAGAAAAAAATTTTCAAAATTCCTAATTGCATTCACATACTATTTAAAAGTTTTCTCTCGTTTTCACCCAAAAAGATTTTAATGTCAAATACACCATTTTCTCTGTTCTCTTCTTTTTTTGGGAATTGAAATATCATGATTTGATTGCTTGCTAGAGCAACAGAAATCTAATAGTATTACTACTATACAAATTTAAGAGTTGTTCCGTTTCTTTATTGATTTTTTTGATTTTAATATCTAAAATCGTATATAAACTTGAAGTATTCCATTATAGTTTATTAAGTGATTGAAGATAACATAAATACATTTTATGGTAATTTTAATCGAAATTATAGCTATATAATTTATTTGTTAAACAGTTTATCAAACAGTTTTAGCTTAATCATAAAAACTATTTTTTCATAATAGCTTCATAATACCCTTTAAGCTAAAAAAAAAAAACCCAGTCAAACAAGCTCTTAGTTTAAATGCTTCTACATTGGTTAGATTTCTTGATTTACATTCTTGCATTGTAATGTCAACTTTTATTTCACTTTTAGTTCTTTATGTCAAGATATTTGTTAGCATATGAATTATTGAAGACGAACCAGAGATAAGTGAGAGCAGGTGAAGACTTTTGCTCACTAATTTGCCTACATAAACCTGTAAAAACTTGAATGGAAATACAGTTTTAAGTTCTAGTTTCTTGAGCTTTGTCTCTCAATTGTTTTCCAGCAAACTTTGGTTAGTTTGAGTGTGTTTTGTGAGCTCCTTTCACTTGCAAAGTCATATTAATCAGATTAAGACAGATCTGTTCTGTTTTAACCATTAGTGCAGCAGACCACTCTGGTTAGCTGGTGTTACACCTTATGCAGTCTGAATGATCATGATTGCTGCCTCATATCCAACCTAACTTTCAAAAATCCTATTATTAATTTTTTGGAGAAATGATCAGATGAATCAGGTTTAAAACAAAAAAAACTTGTTTCGAAATTATCAGATTAAACAAATATAGAGTTATGCCTGTCAAAGGATGGATTTAAACATTTTTATACCTAAATTGACAGACATAAAAATGTGAATTTTTATCAGATTAAACAAATATCATGTAATTACATGCCACCATCTGATCATTTGTTCAAAACTGTGGAAATTGATATTTGGACTGATAGACTCAGAAGCAATCTGAAAATTACATGCCACGAGCTAGGGCAGGACCTGATAGAGGGCATCAGAATATTTCATATGAAACGGAGAAAGAATTACTACCATTCCAATAGGGCACGAGAGGCTCCATCAGGAATCCAAATTCTTGAAGCTTCCCGCATATTCATGCAAAGAACATACAGAAGAGGCAGTAGCAGTATGAAAATTCATTATGTAACTTGCGATCGTTAACTACCGTCCTCGTGCACACTGGTGGTAAGAAAATTTAGAAACCTGAAAGCTAGAGCTTATTGCATCGAGTACTAGCACTTCATCCATCCAAATTTTGATAATATAGCTAGTGTCGAATGTCGATCAGGTGCCTTCATAGCCTCAGTAGTTTAAGCTTCTCTAGTGTCTGTTTTAGTATACAAATCTCAGCTGTAAAGCATCCAAAAACCTTTGTAGAATACATTTTTAACATCTTTAACGAGTCAGTTAATAGCCCTCAAATTTTGAAACGTTCCAATCAATTGGCAAAATTGTTCAAGACTGATCAGCATTTTGGTGGCTTCAAAGAACTGTTAACAGCAGAGCTACTGGTATAACAGGTTGTACGCTGGTAAGTCCTGTATTCTATGAACATCATCCAAAGACAGTTCTCTCTGCAGTTGTGTGCGTGTTGCTTGTAAAACCTCCTGCAGGAATGAAAATACTAGAGAATAAGGAATTGAAATGGTTCCTTCAAAAAAAAGAAAAAGTGTCAAGTTACACAGTCTTTGGCAACATATGATTGTCCGATAAATCCATCTCAAACAAATAATTAATATCGTATAATATACTAATATTCTTTAAAGGAAATTTCAAGGAGCCAGCATCGTAGGAAGAAAAAGAGGATCTAGCATACCTTGGGGAAGTAATGTGCTTTTATTATCCAGATGGGACAGGTCAAAGCACAAAAGAAATTAAAAATATGGGCAGTAAACATACTGAAAATTCTCAAAATAAGCAAAGATCATTTGCATTACTGAAGATAGTCATAAATTTTTTTGCCTTTAGATATTAAATTCTAGGCCAAGAGGTATATTCTTCTTCTGGATAATTGAGCTCCATTCCATCAAACCTAAAAGGGGCAATTAACATAGGGAACACAGAGCCCGGCTAGTCTATTACAGTTCTGGACCACTTTATGTATCTGGTTGTTTTGATATATGATAAGGTGCATATGGTGACTGCGGTTAGATATCATCATCATAAAAAAGGCTGTTCCACAGTGTCAATGCCTAGCCACCAGTGATAGTTGAGGAGCATACAAATCCTTCACTAGATGTACTGATTGCCTATAGATCCTTTCATAAGCTTTCATGTTCAAAATTACTTCCACTAAATCAATGTAGCATCTTTTTCTGTCCACTCATCATAAAGAGAACAAGATAAAGAAGAAAAAAAAAATTGTCACGATTTCGTTGGTTTGGGATTTCACATAGAGCAGAACTGGAATGATATTAAAATAACAGAAAAAGAAAAGCATAGTTATAACTTCAGAGCAAGAAATTTTATCAAAATGTGAATATCAGTCAGTGTCAGTAAGGGCGACAGAGAGAGAGAGATGTACATTAAACTCCATATAGGAAGCGTGCATAGCAAGCCACTGAGCGTCCATCATTTCAAAAGCTATACAATATAGTACATCAAAGGCATTTTCATCTTCTGCAATGTCAAACATTCAGATCATAAGACTGAATACAAAACTAAGAAACAGAAATCAGTTTCTTAGATGCAACAGTGCTTGAGCAGAAGGTACTAAGATCCAAGGTTCTATTACCTCCTAATAGTTTTAGGAAATTGAATCCTGGGAGATTTTTTGGTTTTGCTGCAAAAAGAAAGAGGATAGATTACAGAACAGCTAAACCATTTTACTTGTATGAATCTTAAACTAGCAAAGATGTTTGCATTCTAACTAAACAGATCCTCTAAACATAACAGAACCTTCCAAAATTTGTGCTTTATTGACTTCCTTGAAAATAAATAAATAGGATCCGATCAACAAAAATATCATGATCAGAAGATCGTCAGAGCACATGGATAGTCCACTTAATCTACATTGCAAGACTTCCATGGTGTTTTCCTAGAGTAGAGCAGAGGACATTCAAGAATTACCAAACAAGGTAAAGTGTTGACAGAAATAGACTGAGGACAACAATATAGATTATGAATTAAAAATAAAAACTTTTGTTCACTCACTACCCAGCAACGGGGAGTCATCTTAAGCTACTTTGTAAGGAAAATAGTTGAACACATTAATGAAAAGAAATTAATATTGCCTACAAACCTGAATACAAATCCAACATTTGAATCAACATAAATGATACATTGATGCCAGCAACAGCAAATGGGTATTCCCAAGTTGCTCTCTTTCCATCTTGCTTAAATAATAACCTACGAAAAGATGCCTTCATTTTGTATTTTTATATTATTAGTACTAAGCAAATTTTCTTGCAGAAATCTAGACATAAAAAACTAAAAAGAAACAGAAGGCTTACCGGATATGTTCGGCCAAAAAACAGCAAGTTTTCCAGAGAGATGAAACCACAGCCCCTAAAGAGAAGTTCACTTTTAGACTAATAATTGTTATTTCGAATATAGGAAGTCAGGGCAAAGCCATTGTGTTTTAAACAATTTATTCTATCAAGTTCTTTGTTGGATATCCTTTCCAACCTCTTAGTTATCTCTAAGGCCTTAGAAAGAATCAAAACTTTTACCAAGATGTGTTTGGACATATGTTGGAGGTATAAATCCATTCCTCATGTATTCTACAACACATGCAGAACATATTCATCCTGTGGGATGAAACTATAACTAAAAGCTGCTGTTAGTGACCAAATCCTGCTGCTATGCTGATATCCTTGTATATTAGCATTCTGCATAAATTTATTGCAATTATGGAGGAAGAAGGTGCTACATAGAACATGATGGAAAACTTTATGCCAATATAATGTTTATAATGGCTCTAGAACAAACTTATTCTTAATGTCAACAGAATGATTTGAGATAAAATTACTAAAGCAATAAGTTTCCCTTTTACCATGACTCATTGTCAGTAAGGGATGGAAAAATAGTGAGTTAAAATGTCAGAAAAAATAGAATGGAAGTACTGTACCGAAAGTCTGTTGATGGATTAGGGCCTTGCCACCCCATTTCTTTCCACTGTTCAGAGATTAGGCCTTTCAAAGCAACATTAGGAAAGGCAATATGCCACAATGCTTTGAGAGCTTCCTGTCAACAACAAAGGATCATAAGATCAACTGTCCACTAATTTACATAGCATTAAAAATGATCAAAATGAAACATAATGAAAGCAGAAGATGTAACTATTTGCAAATTGTAGAAATTACATGACAGAACAAAATACTTAGATATGAGATTTAGCAAGAACTCTCAATTACTCCCCCCACACCCTACCCCTCAACCCCCCAAAACTAATCCTAAGATTTAAATGGAGAAAATGATCAGCAGTTTTTACTTCCATTTTGGTTAAATCTAAAACAGAATTAATAAATTGATCCCAATTTAGTTATCGTCCACTAAACCAAACATAGACTGAGAAGATCCAACTGCCTAAGTCCTGTCTTCATATAGAAAAGAAACAGTTGATATTTATGATTTAGAACCAAGTCTTAATCGAAGTTAAGAAAAATAACCTTTGAGAGAAAATATGGATGTCAAAAAAAATCAATAAAGTACCTGATGGTTAGGATGAGTCTCGTCAAAAGGTGTTTGTAATCGTTCTTGAAGCTTTTGAAGTCTTTGTTCCTAGTCAGAAGTTAAAGAAACATTATCAATTTTATTATTACTGAGGCTCTGCATACATACGTATGTACACATATCAAAACAAATCAGACCAAGAAAATCATAGCTAAAACAGAACAAGTGTCAGAAATTCTCTCAGCTTATCTTCAAACTGAAAACCCTAAGAAATGACAGCAAAAATTAGCTCCTACAGAAGTCTGATTTTCAATTTTCAAACCTAGGGGATTGGTTTCATGAAAATGCTGAATTCAATATCTTATAACAACGTGCATAGACATTACATGGAAACATATATTTTCCTTATGGAAAAATTAAATTAGACATAAAAAAAAGTTGAAAACATATAGATCACAATCAGCACTAATACTGGAGTAACATTCTCAATTACCTGAATAGGAGTCAAAGGGTAGTCAAGAAACCTCTCATTACGCTTATTGCTTGAGCGATTAAATAGCCCTCCTATCCATGATCGTGACCCAACCATAGCATTAGCTACAACAATATAAGACTGATCAGATATTAGAGAATGTGTTGTAAATGGATTATTTGCTAGTCAACAAGCATTTCAATGTTGAAATTGGTTGATACAGCCTTAAACATTGCATGTTACTGGAGTAGTTTAACTCTACTCAATTTCTCTAGGTTGCACATGTCGAGACTTGAGAGACAGGAAAGGAGAAGAGAAGTATTATGAACTCATACATAATCAATCCGAACAAAGAAAGCTAAAAGAACTGGACAAATTTCTAGAAACCAAATTTGCCATATTAGCAATAGTTTATGTTGTGTTCTACATAAGACATTTTCTAGCTCTTTCAAAATCTTTTTT